ATGATGAGTGAGTAAATTACAAGATACGATTCGCTGGGAAGCTAGCTAGCTTTGTCCTTGGCTACACATGCTAGGTTTTCCACCATTGAAGTTAGGTACTGTTTTTGTAAAAATACTAATGTCCGATGAGAATCCACTTAAGTTAAACGATTTGTAACGATAGAAATTTATGAATATTCCTGGTCAAATATCTTAAGTTTTCCGATTGATAAGTGTTAGAAAAATCACAGTTATAGCTTTCGAAGTTTATAGCACACTGATTATAGTGAACTACTAATAGACACTCTCTTGGTGCATGTGTTGGTTATATTTATAAGCGTGGGAAGGTTTTCTAGAAGATACAGACTTGCGTAACAATACTGTGCTACATTTAAACGTTTAAGTATATACACATTGTTGATTCTTACTCTCGAGAATCTTCTACAACTATGGAGAATAGGCGGGAGTTTCGCAATACGTATTTAACACTATAAGCTACACATGTTTTAAATATAAACTAAATCTAAACAACGTTGATATTAAAATAAATATATAATAACAAATTCGTTACAGTTTATTCCAAAGAAAGAACAAACACCAGTCGTAATATATGATAACATTTTATAATTATATCATTGGCTTAGGCCACAAAGTTAATAATAAGATGACATCAAACCACAAAAATCACACAAAAAAATCAAAGCAGTAAATTACCTTAGTTTTAAACTAGAATAGGTAAAGCTAATTACTGGAGGTCAATACCCAATGGGATAACTTATGTATTGTGTTACTATAAAGTAGGCAATATTTTTAAACAGTCTAATTATTTTGCATATTTCAAATATTCAGACTTGTTTTGATTATTTTTAGGTGAGTTTCTGTTAAACAGAAGCTGGAGAGGCTTGGAACAGAAGCTTGGAGAAACTCCAGTTGCCATAACAACAGAAGGCCAGAAAGGAATAGCAAGTAGATATGAAGGAGAGGGTCAAGAAAGTAGTTAATTCATCATTAAAAATTGTAACAGTTTATGTAAGACTGATGTGTAGACCAACTAATGCTTGCAAATTTTGTGTGGGAGATGGTTGTCTAGCCTGTTGAGTGCTAGAAAAGTATTTTACACTTGGATATGCATGTATTGAATGATTTATATTTGTTTTGTGTTTCACAGACATTTTCTGTATCTTATTAAATAAGTAATATACAAAGATTTCTGAGGTTACATAAGTTCTGATCATCAAATAAAAACACATAGAACTTTAGGTTGTAAATGAGTAAAACAGATGTTTTTGTCTGTAATGGTTTGAAACTTGCTTCAAACTATAAATAACATTGGAAGAATAAGTACTTAACCTACCTCTCATAAAGCTTTAAAACTCAAAATAATGAGTTTCTTTTTGTAAATTCATACCTAAAATGATCAAATACCAGCTGTACAGTGATTTCTGACAGTGTACATTTGTAATTTATAAGAATATGTGTACATCAAAGGTACACAAATTTGTATGTGTACATATTTTTTGTCAAATCACTCACATGTTTGACCTCATTTTAAGAAAATTTTTACACTTTGGAAAAGCTGCACCATTATCATTTGTGAAATTTATTTCTCAAATATATTGAAAATGTTCATTAATATCTACAACTAAATATTCAGGGTTCATGTAACTAGGTAAAATTTTGAGTGGGGGGGTGGCTTGTACATATATCTGAAATATGTTATCCATAGTTCAATTCCTGTTTTGAAATTTGTAATTTACTTCCTGTCACAAAACATAATTCAACTGCATTATGAACTTTTCATAATGCTGATCAGATCTGGGTCTAGTCAGAGTTAGTTCATAACTGGGCTCAGTGTGAGCTTTGATAGAAGAAACTATTGTTAACTTGTCAAACATTAAAATACTGTTGACATTGTATAGAACTTGTTAGTTCA